TAATGTTAGTTTGTCACAGCGATAATCATCATCATCTCTATCATCATTATTTGCCGCGAATTTCATTTTCCTTAAAAGTTGACTGGTAGGGAATGATTTTAGCATTAAGTCCGCCTTTTGTACCATTATATGTAGTGGTCAATGCAATTTAATAATATAACCCTTGCCATATTAGTATATTTTTTTAATGGGACAGTTTGGGGAAGAAGATACAACGAAACTGTCTTAGGAACAAACTGTTTTTTGTATGTGAAAACAATGTTGACAATAATTTTTCTTTATCCATAAAAATAAATAAAAATGGTCAAAATTTTTTTTAGTGCTGATCGACTCAGTTTCATAAAGGGATTATTTGAAATCATTATTTCAATGGAAGTTGGTCAAAATCATAAAATGTCTTTCGTACAAAATGGAATATTAACTATTTTTTCTTTTAATGTTGATAAACTCAGTTTCTTATAAGGATTATTTCATTGCATGAGACGAAAAAAATCCGGACAGCAGAAGTTGGTCAAATTTCATAAAAGGTTTTTCATACAAAACTCCTTGACAGATCGAGATTGACACGAGCTAGCTCAATGTGTGAAGTGCTAGATGGAAAATTTGTTGCTGTGAAAAATTTGCCAGATACGACTTTGCGGAATAATATTTATGTTACAATTTGTCTATAGATAGATGTACTTTTGTGTATCGCATTCGAGACATCTTAGGGTCAATTTACATTGCCGCGAATGGAAACAAATTTTTAAATCGTTACAACGAGAAACTACATTCGATACGATGGGAACACCTAAGACTGCGCGAGTGAATTCTCCGAAAGAAGCGCGTCGAGTTTTTTGATTCTTATTCAGGGGTCTACTCCCACTCTCTGTCCGACATCAACAATAACTACAGTAGAAGTGGTTAGTTAGCGTCCTACGCGTGCCAACTATACATCTCGAAAGATCTATCTGAGGTCAGTCCGCCAATTTCGCATTGTATGGTAGTGTCATTATTTTGTGCAAATTCTCTAAAATCCTAGACAAATGTCTTGTTGTGTTGTTTTGAAGTACAAAAATAATAGCCGCACCAATAATATTGCCCGTGGTGGTATTTAATATCATCGGAAAGTCTTACTTTTATAAATTTTAAATTTTCTGTATAACGAAATATTTTTTTTGTCACAAGAAACGAAAGTAAAGCTTATAGCCCTGCAATATGGTCGGTTTTTATTTGGAGAACTAAATTAATAAATCCAATTCGTGGTTGTTCAGCAATTAATCGCTAGATGGCAATACATTGATTGAAATTTAAATATAATATCAAAACGTCGTAACTTGTAATAATAGGTATTTATGATATTGAACTTCGAACGATATGCCAACAGGGTAAAGTTTAAATTATATTAAGAATCCAGAATTAGTTATTTCTTTTTAAATTTGAAACTACGACCAAGCAATATCTAGATTTTCTAGTGTTTCAAATTAAGAATGTGTGAGTTTTGGCGACATCGGTTCTACTACATAGCGCACACTATAAGTTTCCGGAACTGGCCACTTACATAAACAATATTTAAAAAGTAATTACAACATTTGAAAATGGAATTCTTTGGCTGTAGAATACAATTTGTTTCATCTGACTGTCACTTATTTTTACATTGTGACGTCATTTTGGAAATTGGTTGTCTATATCACCATGGATTTAACTCGCGAAAATTTTTGTATTATGGTTTTCTACGACTTTAAGTGTAACTTTGTAACATTACACTATTGCTCAGCGGAGCTTCACTCGGCTTCAAACTGCTTTTGGCAATGAAGCACCATGCAAGACAACTATTTATAACTGGTTTGCAGAATTCAAACGCGGTCGTTTGAATCTCAGTGACGAATTTCGTGATGGTCGCCCGTCCACTGCTGTGAACAACAAAAATATCGATGCTGTGCGCCGTATGATCAAAACAGGCATGCATGTCACTTACCATGAGATTCGGGCATCTTTAGGCACAGGCATGAATCAAATACAATCAATACTACACAACCATTTGGGTGTGAAAAAGCTGTGCTCTCGGTGAATCTTACACGATTTGACTGAGGCTCAAAAAACGGATCGCGTCACTTGGTGCCATTCCATGCTGACCGATTCAACGAAGGGGCGTCAAATTTGACGAAACATGGATTTATAGCTACGATCCCAAAACTAAGCAGCAATCAAGCGTATGGGTATTTCGAGATGAGCCGAAACCAACCAAAGTGGCGCGCGTGCAAAGTGCCTCTAAGCAGATGATTGATTCTTTTTTTAATAAAACTGGACACGAGGTTACTGTTGCTTTGGAGAATCGTTGTACCGTGAATAGTGATTGGTACACGACCATTTGTTTGCCGGAAGTTATTAACAAACTCCGTAAAAATAACCGTAAACGCCGTATCATCTTGCACCACGATAATGCCAGTTCTTACATGGCCAGACAGACAAATGAATTTTTGAAGGTGAACAACGTTGACCTTATGAGCCATCCCGCGTACAGTCCCGACCTGGCACCTTGTGACTTTTATTTATTTCCAAAAATTAAGAACCAGTTACGCGGTTAACGCTTTTCATCACCTGAAGAGGCTGTCGAAGAGTATGAAAAATATGGTTCATTGTCACGGAGGAGTGGCATAAATGTTTTCAAAGTTGGTTCATTCGTACGAAAAAGTGCATTAACGGTAACGGAGAATATTTTGAGAAACAATGAATTCACTTCTGACCATTTATAGTATTTTTTCTTATTCATTCCGGAAACTCATAGTGCACCGCACGTAGTAATCGACGCTTAAGGCATTTCCATTGCTTTTTTCTTCCGTGGCCCGAAACAATTAATGTCAAATAAGTAATACTCGACCAAATAAAAAAACAAAGTCAAGTATGAAGCTTCATTCGCACCTCGCATCTTTTAATTTGATCGAATATTACTTATTCGGAAGGAGTAGGGGGTAGACCCATGGTTTGTATACGTTTGACGTAAAGTCCATTGCTATGGTTACAAAAATTCGCTTTTATTCCGTTTCGCAGTTCCGTAAATAAGCATTATACTACGTTGATTGTTTTAGGGACTGACCACACTTATCCACACGGAATCGCAAGTCCAGTCCGAGCGGAGGCGACAGGAGCAACATCTTTTTCGCGTTTAATAAATAAATAATAATAAATATTAGACGACATCTCACATGTTGCTCTAATCCCAAAATAAGTAATTAAAGCAGTTGTGTTAGGGTAATGATTTGGACTTTCGTGTGTTACTGACCATTAAGGGCTATGGCAGAATATCCGCGAGGACCATGTTCTTCATTGTCCTTTGTAGCCGAGTGATAGACCCATTTATTATTATTAATTTGCCATACTTTTCTTTGTGTTGTATTGCACGTCAAATTTTTATTTTAATCGGAAACAATGACAATTTTTTTTTCTACATTGACCCGGCAGGCGATCAAAGGCCCCAGAGATGTCTACACTATGAAAACCGGTGTGCAAGCTACTAGACCACGAAGGTCGTCTAAAAACATAAAACTTTTTCTCATCGGCTCAAGCCAATAAGTGTGGTGACTCTCTTAATACAGTTGGTATAAGGCTGCTAACATATTGACTGCATGTTTGCAGTTAATACGGGAAGTCGTAATCAACTTGAAGTCGATCTCGACTGCATGAAGATGGTTTCGACTGCATGCAGTTGATTACAATTTCACGCATTAACTGTAAACATGCAGTCAATGTGTTAGCTGCCTAAAGGAGTTACCACACTACGGGGGTGTTGAATAACACTTCTGGATGTTACGAATTCTCAGTTGTTCCTGTTCGCTAGAGGGCTAATGTTTTCCTAATGCGGGAACTATGTCGCGCCTCAATAAACTTATTCAGTTGGTTGGCCCTCTTTCCCTTCAGGCGGAATGGTCTATTTCGAATTCGAGTTTCCTTTTCCAGTATGACGAGTTCACACGCTAAAGAATTCAATTTTCGACATCGTATTTGCTCCTTACCGTCATGTAATGACGGGAATTAAACTTGATATCCCTGTTTTAGTTATTTCTAAAAAAAATCGCATCCTTGAAAAAACTGCGATACAGTCCAGATGGACTTAAAATAATTTTCGTTGATTGAATAACAATTCTTCATCAAAATCAAGTTTACACGGCGGTTTATTATTTTAAGTTTAATATATACGCCAAAACGTAACAAAAAAATATATATCACATTATACACCTCTACTCATTGTTAGTATCACAAAGGTCAACGGTTACTACCCGGCGAAATACAAAAGGTAAACAAAACGGTAGCGATGTTATCAAAACAGGCGTTTTTATTTCGGTCGGGTAACAACCGTGAGCAGCGCCATTTATGCCCGTGGGTTATTTGGGTACTAATTTTACGGTGAAATTTGTTTACCTTAACATTTTTATGTTCATATGTTATCTTTTGTATTTTGAACAATTCATTAAACGTGTAACAAATGCAACATTGCTTAAAACGTCATCAATATTGCAATTAAATTTCAGTTTTTTGAGAAAATATTAGCGCGAATTTGTTTATTACCAACGTAAAGAAAATTTGACATACTTACAAAAAAGTCAAAGCTGTCCATATCCAAGCGCAAACTTTAAATTAATGCGATCATTCAACAGGTAGATATACCTAGAGGTAGCAACGCTTTTGTGAGCTATGGATGAGAACTGTGGTTATAAATCTATGCCTACATCAATCAGTACACAGGTAGTTACATAGTCAGCGTCTAGACTGGACATAAAATCAATAATTTCCCCTGTGCAATGAACTCGCAGTGTAGTCATATAACCGTCCGATAATTTATGCGTTTTATGACGTAGCTCGCACGAGTTCTATGCAAATCATGAAAATCTACGTAAGTACTTATGCGATGATTAGTGAGATTCGTGTAGAAATGAATTTTTATAGATTCTTGAGTAGAAAGTGCAGACAATTGGTAACAAAGAAATTGGAATGTAGGTACTGTAAAGTGTGAATTGAATTACCTTTTCTGACATCGCACATAGAGCATTTGAAGGCCTCAGCGTTGTTCCTATAGGTACAAACACTGCAGTCCCAATAATTTTCCTCCAATACTTTTGAAGGCCTCTTGGCTCTCCGGATTGCACTTTTCTTGTCCATTTTCACGCTCACACACAACACACCGGATCCACAACTTCAATACATACAGATCATGACACTTTTGAGTGATTGTAATTGTTCTTTGATACATTAATTAAATGTTTATGCCGAAGAATCATTATTTTTATTTGATCGTGCACATAGTACACTAACAAGCGCCATGACAGCTCGTCAATGAACGTCGGTAAAACAGCACATTGCGAAATACTGCTTTATCGATGGAATTAATTTGATATACTGGCAATAGATGGCGCTTAGAACAAGTAACTAAAATTGGAACTCTACAATTACGCTAGTCATACATATGTAGATATCATCGACTCTACATAGGTCTTTTGTAGAAATTCCTTTTTCCATCCTCTGAGAGAAATTCTAGTCCCGAGATCAAACTATTTATTAATATCAAAAAATGTTTTGTTGAACAAATAATTTCGGTTTATGAAATATTGTCCCTATAGTCGGTGGATTGTATAGCTAGGGCACTTCTATGTTCAAATACAAAAAATAATTTCATTGTACCCGTACCTACTTCTTATTACTCACATACTCCACAAAAAAGTGAAAAATCCAAGTTTATAAGAAAATTACAAACACTTTGTAACACGACTTATTCGTCTCGACTAGTAGCTTTTTATGGGCCTTCTACGTAATAAATGAGTGTATACTTACCATTTTTATGTCACCTTCGCAACTAACAATTTCTACTGCATTTTCACATGAAACATTATTTTTTACGGTTCATAATGATAGGCGTGGCCTTATACCAAGCCTATAGGTATAGTACACTACACTGTAATAGGATTACATTTTTATTTCTTCTCATATGCGTAGTTATGTACAAATAAACATTCATTTTCTAATATAAAAATACATTATAAATCCTTAAGTTCGTCTTATTAGAAAATATTAGTAAATAGGCATTGTATTAACGATCTTGCGTAGTTAGTTTACATAGATAATGTTTGTCTTTAGAATACTCAATATGGATTTAAAACGATATACATGCAACTTTAAGGTCGGGTTGAAGTAAGCTGGTTTTTTCTTAATAAGGTATTGGCTGAGAAATAAGTATTTGCAATTTCGTATCTGTTTAAAAATTAAGCCGGATATTTTGCGCGGCTTTGTGAATTCCGTTGAACAAACTGTACATTTCTAACAATTTATTAAATCCCAATAAAATAACTTTTTTTATATTTTTATAACAAATTGCAAATATAACTTCTTTTTTATATAATGTACATTAATGTAGATTTTATTCTGGAAATAGGTGTATCTGTTTCGAACCCGGACGCTCGTGACAGAAAATGAATATATTGACTAGAACGTAGAAATAAAACTTCAAAGCAAACCGTATTCTACAAATCGAAAAGTTTTTATTAGGATTCAAAGAATACAACCCAAGAAACACGACCAAAATCCGAAATCTAACAATTTTGATGGCCTGAACTAAAATCACGTTTACAAAAGATTTTTTTTGTTCTCGAACTTAAATATAAAACACCTTATTATCAACGGCTGTAAGTTCAAAATACAGAAGTTAGGAAAAAAAGACGTAAGACGCAAGTGGTCGGGCTGTATCGTCACAAAAAAAGGCCTTTTAAGAGCAAATTCTTAGAAGAGTCAACCTTTTTTTTTTTTTCAAACACACGTCTATGTGAATTTCGTCTTTCTGCCTACCTGAGGCTACTATGGTTCGAAGCAATTTTATTTAATGCTGGGTTCTTAAACATACCCTGGAGCTAGGTTTTGTGCATCGAAGAAATAATTATAGAAAACTGGTTCCTTGCGGTCGAAGGAAGGGATAAAATTCTTTTCGGTATAGTCAATCACTGAATTAATAGTTTCGATTACAATGGAATGTTTCGAGGTTTAAAAGCGATTAATAAAATTACACAGGTCAGTTACGATCAGACGCAATTTTATTTTTTATTCTTTTAAACGAAAGAGTAATTTAAATAATGCTTTATTATTTTTTGTATCAAACAAAAGACTCCAAATAAAAGAAGAACCACAGACAAAAACTTTTAATTCTTTAATATCTTCTGTAAGTAATGTAAAATAACAAACGGTCTCCACCTCCTGAACTAAAAAAAAATCTTGAATTCGTAAACATATCTCTGTACTAAGGCTTTCAGTCTCGTGTCGTGTCCGTGTCCCCAGTGTACTGGCAAAAAATCGAGACTTGGTGCAGTCTTGAAAATCCATCAAATGTAAAATTCTATCAACGTTATCTGTGTAGTAGCGTAAGTACCTTAGTACATAGTTATCGTTTATTGAATTCTACTAAGAGCGTTTGCGCAATACGTCCGATTCGTATCAGGGGGTCTACTCTCGATCTCCGTCCGAAACAATCACTGCCAAATAAACAATACTTGACCAAATGAAAAGACGCGTGATGCGAATGAAGCTTCACACTTGATACTTGTCTTTTAATTTTGTCGAATATTACTTATTTGACAGTAATTGTTTCGGTTGGAGATCGAGAGTAGGGGGTCAGTTCCGAATCCAAGAAATGAAGGTCCGAAATGTCACGGGGATCATTTCGTCTCTAGGTGTTTGTACACCTAGAGATAAAATGCGATATTCATATTTCTTGGCTTTGAATCGGACTTACGGCCGTTCCCAATATTCGTTATGGGGAACGGCCGTTAGTGCACAATGGGCATCCGAAGTGGGCCCGAGTTTTTTAGATTTGTATATTCTCGGATTCGGAACGCGCTAAGTCTTTAAGTGGGCATGGAAGTTCCATATTTAAAGACTAGGCAGTCAAAAACATGATATTTTAATCAAGTTCTTTATTGACTCAAATTACGAAATCAAAATTATTTATTATTTTTTATTAATATTAGTAATAGGTTTAAGATAATGAAGACTGAATTTATTACTATCATTCTACAATCTCCACAGATAAGACAAAGTTCTGCAGTATTGCCATGTAACGTATAACCAGAACCAGAATAAAAATTACTGTTGGTTTAGTACTTTTTAAATATTGTTTCAAAGTCTCGACATTCCCGGGACTGAAAACATCAGTCTGTTCTTCTTATCGCATCGATGAAGTACAATATAATGCTTACCATCGTGGTGAAAGGGTTTGCCAATAGGTATAAGGTACTCGCCAATTGTTGCCCAAGGTACGCCAGACGTACAGGAAAGAAATGGAACCGCCGATGCCCTAAGACACCTGACCGTACAACCATCTATTTGGTTCTGCATAGATCAGTGTCAAAACAGGACCCCGATTCAAAACTCTTCGATGTTTTAATCGCATCGTTCGATGGGATATCGTTCTCGAATCGAAGGGCGCTTTCCAAGCTATTCCGAACATTTGAGTTAAATGTTCGATTCGGATGCGGATACGATTTTGTCATCCAACAACGGTTACAGAGTTAGTCGGTGAAACAGATTATAAGAAAAATTAAATTTCGTTTATATACATTTTTAAGACTTTAAAGGTATAAAATATAGGAATACATTAATCTTGCAATAAATAAATTAATGACATTGAACGCAATCCAGATTTTATTTAAAATAATAAGAGATTTCCATATTACATACTTGCGTTGTAAACAATACAAACAGGGTTTCCCTAGTGCGGGGCTATGTTGAGTGTGTGCGTTATTATTATTATTATTATTATTAATAGGACGTTCGGTATCTTTCATTCGATAACTGTGTTCTAAATAAAATTTGTAGCCTTTACCGGTCGAGAAGTTCGAGTAATCGTACGGGTGTGAAGTCATTTCGTCAGTTTCGAATACGACAGTTTGATGTTGTGAATAAAAATGAAAAGAAATCGTACGATATCAAATCGGTCGATAACTGAGTTATCGTAAGGTTCTGAATTGACCCCCTGACCCCTTAACAATCTATTTGGTTCTGCGTAGATCAGTGTCAAAACAGGTGTGAAATAAATTTAACCTTTAAGGTTGATTCATGTTAAACCCTACCGTGGTCGTACCGGTCGGGCCGTGCTCTGATCGTGCGCCGGCTGTGACATGGTCAAATATCTATATATGCTTTTGTATGAACATCATGTTAGACCGGGCCGAGTCCGTGTCACGGCCGAGACACGGTCGGAGCACGGTGTCGAGTATTTTTTCTTGGTTCCAACTCGACCCGATCGCGACACGTAATATGAATGCATTCGCCGGCACCCGGAGGATAGTCAACGTTGTACTACAGTGTAGTGGATAGCGCAAGCGCAAAATGCTCTCATCATCTATTGACTCTTTGTAGAGCGTGGCAATTTTTTTGTTCCCGTATTCTCCAGGCAGGATGTACACACCATCTTCTTTTTCTAGTTTCAATTTGTGTTTCCAATACTTCGTCATCAAGAGCTATTGCAATAGCTGCCAACTCAAGTTGTGAAAATTGCGTTAATAACACAACCTTATCACTCAAGAGAAAAATGAAAAATAACAAAAAAATCCCACCCGGCGCACGGTTGAAACGACACGGTGACAGTCCGGACCCTGCACGGTGTACCGTCAATCGGTGAATGACCGACCCGGCCGGCGCACGGTGGAAACGACATGGCACTGTGACGGCCCGGACACGGCACGGTGTAACGTGAATCAGCCTTTAATCTGTGAGCCGTAAAATTCATATTGATATGACTTCCTTATTACATTTTTTTTTTTTTTTAATTGTGACTCGGCAAAATGACTGCACCGCGCCTGATGGAAAGTGCGAATACAGTCCAGAGATGAGAGTAACGGATGGAAAACACAAATATCTTCACTCCGTCACTATCATTTTGCCGGTCTGGCCAAATACTTCTTCACACTACGTTTGCATACACATTAGCGAATGATGTCGTTAGCGAATGACGTTTTAAGAAACTTTTTAAGCAAATTTTGATCTTTTATTACATTGTATAAATACAAGTGTCAACCAGAAAGCTTGAATTTCTTTACACTTTTCTGTTGAATGCTTAAGAAGGCTCTCAAAACATGTGGTCTGTGCTCAAAACAGGTCGGCTAAGAGACCAGGTATCTTAGGGCATCAACTGTACGTTTGTAGGTATTCGATCGAAGTATCGAATGTGCACATCGATGTGTGCACATTATTATAGTAATAACTTAATGTCTCCTAAACAATTTGGTTTCACTCGGAGTCGCTCTACAACCGACTTTAGTTAATGAAACATATATTTGATGCATGGGAAGGCTCACATGTCGCTATTGGTGTATTCTGTGACCTTTCTAAGGCTTTTGATTGTGTGCATAATGATACTCTGGTCAGGAAACTTCGCCATTATGGTGTGGCGGGACGTGACCTCGACCTTCATAAATTATATTTGAGTGGTAGGGTCCAGAGGCTTGATGTTAACGGTACAAGATCATCAGGGTCTGCAATAAGCATGGGTGTCCCTTAAGGTTCAATTCTAGGTCCATTTTTCTTTTTAGTTTATATTAATGACTTACCTAGCCGCATGGAGGGTTTAAAACATAAGATAGTATTGTTTGCTGATGATACTTCATTATTATTTAAAGTTAAAAGGCACCAATGTTCCTACGACGATGTGAACAATACTATATCTAAAGTAGTTGATTGGTTTGCTGTTAATAGCCTGCTTCTTAATGAGAAAAAAACAAATTGTGTGAAATTTACGTTACCCAATGTTAGAGAGACGGTTACAAACATTGTGGTTGGCAACAAAAAATTGAATCTTGTGAATACAGTTGTATTTCTAGGTATAACGTTAGACGCTAAATTGCAATCGGGTTCACATATAAGTATGTTATCAAAACGGCTCCGCTCTGCAGTGTACGCGATTAAAAATATACGGAAACTTTCAGACGTCGAAACCACTAGATTGGTTTACTTCAGCTACTTTCACAGTCTAATGACGTACGGCATTTTGCTTTGGGGTAATGCCGCCGATATCAAGAATCTTTGTCCTGCAGAAACGAGCGGTTAGGGCAATTTACAATCTGGGTCTTAGAGTATCTTTGAGAGATAAGTTTAAGGAAATTAATATTCTTACACTAGCGTTACAGTACATCTATGAAAAAGCAATTTATGTTAAGAGGAATAGTAGTCTCTTTATGAAAAATAGTGACAGACATAACATTAATACGAGGAATAAAAATAAACTAGCTGTTCGTGTTAGTCGTCTTCACAAAGTGACAAATTCATTTAAGGGGCAATGTATACGCTTCTATAACAAGATTCCGCTTGATATACAAAATTTGCCTTTCACGAGGTTTAAAACTACAGTGAAACAAAAACTTTATACTAAAGGTTATTATACAACTTCTCCATACTTGGATGACAAAAATCCGTGGTAGTAACCCGTTTAGCTCATGGAGGTAGTCTGGATCTCTGATGTTTAAAAGCAAAACAAAAAAAAAATTGTATGTGTTGAATGCATAAAAATGTTATTTATAAAGAGCAACCCCTAGAGTTTCTTGCTCATTCTTCTCAGGGGAATCTGCCTTACGAATGAGCGGTAGAGTTTAACCAATGTGACGATTTCAAGTGTAATAATGCTTACCTATGAAATAAAGATGATTTTGATTTTGATTTTGAGTTTTGAATGTCGAAAATGCCAGAAAATCGTCGAGACTAAAATGCTCTAATACCGGTAATTAGAGTATTCAGAGACCACCTGGAAATAAAATTATTATTGCGGCCCTAAATCGTGTATACTTGTCACTTCAAACAAAGCCTTTGTAACCTTTGAACAATAATTCAGAATTTGGTTTGCGTTGAAATTGTCGAATTTGTTTTTGAATTTTGTTTGTCTGAACTTGTTGATGACTGATACCTTCTCAGTTAGCCGTGACTATGTAACCTGTAATGGGTCGAGAAGTTTGTTTTATGTCACTAAGTGACGGCATAAACAAGTCGTGCCCCGGTTACAGTACTACTCAGTACTTTCAATCGCAAAGACTCGAGGGGCACTGCCACTGCGCCTGTTAGACATAAGTTGACAAGTACGTGCCTGTAATTTCACCGGCTTACCCTTCAAAGTTAGAACGCAGGCGTCAGAAATGGGTAAGATGGTAGTAGAAGGAGCTCTACTGCTTCTAGAAGTTGGTTTGTTTGAGAAATTATAATATAAAGATTTAGATACTTAAGAACTCAATGGTAACAAACTTTACATAATTTTACAATTTCGTATTATCCTCAATATTAATAACATCAATGACACTGTGTTCATGACTACAACATTAATATTTTCTTTGCATACTACGTAATTAACATTCAAAATACGAATTAACTAGTTAGACACTATACAGGTAGAGGCCTCTCCTCTCCTTTATTCCTTCAGCGATTGCTAAAAAAAATGCAACACCTAGATCAAAATAAAGCTTCGAATGGTGTTCCGCAAGTAATAAATCCGAGCCATTGCTACCTAGTCGGCTGCGAGCCGTGAAATAAGCGAGCAACTCAATATTGAAGCTATTTTTCCGTTACTTTTTACACATTCTTTTTGAAAACAAGATCCTGTACTATGTCAGATTTTTTTTTTCCCAAAACAGAATGTGTCCAAGGAGATTTTATTTGAGGAAAAAGATTCCATGCCAAAATATTCATTACTGAATTCGACGAAAAAACATTGACAACGTAATAATTCTAAAATAAAAACTTCATAGATATAATAGAAAATAGAAAAACTTTTCATAGATAAAATCTTAGAGATTTTATTTCAGGAGAAAAAGATTTCTTTACTTTTTGTACATGATGTAGTTTGTTTATTTAAATCAATAACTTTCATAAAGCATTACCAAGACTACGAAACGTGTGTTAAATTTATCTACGATATTTTATCTAAATCTATAGACAATGTTTAGTGCACACAATTTACGTTTACTTTAAGTACTACACTACACTACTACGTTCTTACAAATGATTTTTTTTTAAATTTAGACTCGTGGGGAACCGTAGATTGTCCTCAATAGGGCAAAATAAGACCATGAAGTACTTAGAATCTGAAATAAACAAATAACAATTTTAATACGACCTAAATGTACGTTTATCGCATGAAAGCCATAAAAATGATACGAAGTACATGAACAAATTAATTAGGCATAAAAAATTATCTATTAATTTCGTTCATAAAATCTTTAACCCTTCCCTCTAAGGTGCGGTTAATAAAAAATCTATCAATAAAATGATACCTTTGCGAAGGCTGTAAGGTTTACATCTGCGTAGCTGTAAGCTGTCAGCTTACAAGGTTTTTGAGCTCTGAAATATTATAAAAACAGTTTTTAAATTATCGCGGCATTTTGTGCAAAATGAAATGTGAAAACCAAGAAATGCCCAATAGAATAAAATAAATCGACCCCACTACGTGAAGATCGTAAGCCCAAATTGCCAGGTTTGCAGGGGAATGTTTTTATGTTTTGAAACAACTAAAATAAGAATAACACCTGTGATTCTCGAGATGTTGCAATTAAATTTGATACATACTCATTATTTTTCATGCTTTTTTGTTTTACTGCTGAGTTTAATAATCCTACATAAAGTGGATTATGTTTTTTTTTTGTGGCTAATGATAGATTCCGTTGGAGGAATCGAAATATTCATAATAATAAGCATAATAATTAATTATACTCCGTAAAATTTAGCATGATTAGATCACACGTGTCAAACTTCATGAACTAGTGATGGGACACTATCAGTGAAATCGAGAATCGATATTAAAATATATTGACTGAACCACGACATATTTAAATCAGTATTAATAAGTACGATAGCAAAAACCGAAATCAACTAATATAATTCGTCAATAAATTCCGTCCCGTGAATAATAGCGAATAGGCATGGGGCCACTACTAATTGATTTCCAGTTTTTTTTTTAAGTAATCGCGCATATCTAAATTATCGCGACATTAGGAAAGCAGTTTAGAAGGAAAACATCGTGATGAAACCTGCACGTCGAAGAAAGTTCACAAACCTCGGAAAACGAGTGAAGTCCTCAACCAGCATTGGGTCACTGTGGCGAACTATAAAACTAAAATGAGTGGAAACACGTGCCCGATGTTGGGACGTATAAATGAGATGGTGGATGATGGATGATGATGTTTAAAAAAAATTTTTTTGGAACGATGGCTTTTAGGGAATATAAAAAAATCGTAACACGTCTCTAATTGCGAGTAAATTGTAATACGTCTCTAGTGTTGCCTGTTAAATACTTAAACTAAAAATTTATTCGTGTGAAAACTGTAACTACAAAAATCCGCCCTTTTCTAGTTAAGGTTAACGAATGATGCCTCCTCAACGAACTTATCGATACTTCCAATGAACTCTAATGCAACTTTATTTTTTGGTAATATTCTGTTATTTTTGTAAGCAGCCATATTTATTTACTAATATTAAGCTCCCCGAATTTTGTGAAAAAGAAAATAAAAACAGAACAGTTAATAAAAATGTAAATAAATTAATTTGCTACTCCGCGAACCCTATATCAGAAAAGATTTATAAAATTCTGAAATCAAATAACATAAATGTTGCTTTTAAGACAAATAACGCTTTGCGCTCTAAACTTTGCAACGGCAAGGAAAGAGTGGAAAGTGGAAATAAGTCGAGAGTTTATAAGCTCACCTGTGACACATGTAACAGGGTATATACAGGTCAAACAGGGAGTAAATTTAATCATATTCATATTCATATCTTCATTGCTTGCTACATGGTTTCACATTAGATACTATAAAATATAAAACAGTAGTAACACATGTGACACACTGCAAGGGCACCGCATTATAACTAGATATACAGTGTTCATTGGAGGTATCGTTGTTACCTGTGACGATAGATAATTTAAAAAATGTACATACCTCATTTGTATAATGTTTAATTCTTTACAGATATCAGACTTCGTTATATACCAATTTGAATTATATACTGCGTCACTAACTTTCACGCTCTGAAATGCAATATAAATTGAAAGGCTTTTAATATGAACTTGCGCAACAAAAAAGATATAGGTAAGGAGTGCATTGCTTTACTGGCACCGTCAGCCCACCACAAACGGACGTGTATAGAGGATTGTTCCTTTTTAACCGCTTTCAAAAAAAAATTCATTTCCAGTGTGTTCGCATCATTCGTGTGATAATCAAATAAACTAATATATTTTTGTGTATTAAATAGATATAATGATTTTTGTAAGTTTTAATTCGTCTGTATTTTTTGTTGTACGTATATTACGCGATTATAAATCAGCACTAAAAATTTCATCAATTTTATTCATTTTTATAGATAACTCACAGTTGACCAAAAATTTACTATACCAAAATTGTTTTCACAAAAAAAAGACTTAATAGTTCCTAAGACAGATTCCTTGTATCTCCTATGGTTTCGGATTTCCCCATAGCGTCCTATTTAAAAAAAAAAACACTCTGTATACTTAGTTTGAGTTAGGTTAGGTGAAATTATTATTATTATCCGTGTGCAGTTGCTGGTCTGCCATCGGACGCGTCCCCAGGTGGCGGATAGGGGAACGACTCCCAGATATGGGAGTTACCGGCTTCGGCCGGTGCGGACCAAAACCAGCACTGGGAGGGGAGGAAGATAGCGCAGGTTCTGTCCGGCGCTATCTAGCACGCACCCGAGGCGGTGGGCGGTGTTCGGTCTTAAGATCGGCTCCGGCCAACCCGTAATCCCGCTGAGAGGAGGGCCGCGAGGAAGAAAACCTCTATAAAAATTACCCCAATCCTAAGCTCTAGCGCCCGGCGATGGGATGAATGAATTGAACCTGGAGGACAGGGTGGTGCTCTACCAGACGAGGGAAGGGAGGCGCGCCGAGCGCCCAATGAGGTGTGGAGTACCCCAGGGGTCCGTATTAGGACCACTACTGTGGAACCTGGGGTACGATTGGGTGCTGAGGGGCGCGCTGCTCCCCCGGACGGCGGTCATCGCGTACGCCGATGACACGCTGGTGGCCGTCCGGGGGACCACCTTCCAGGAGGCGGCCCGAAGAGCCTCAGTAGCGGCGGACATGGTGGTCCGCCGAATACAACTGCTGGGGCTCGAGGTCGCCGTGCCGAAGACGGATGTGGCCGTCTTCGGCGGGAGGGGTAGAGGTTGGGCGGTGCCGGCAGGCGCCCACATCTCCATCGCGGGAGTATCGGTCCCGGTCAAGTCCCAGATGAAATATCTGGGACTTGTCCTGGACCGGCGATGGAACTTCGGGGAGCATTTCCGGCAACTTGCTCCCCGAATAGTGGGCGCCGCATCGGCGATGGGCCGTCTCCTGCCCAACCTCGGGAGGCCGGGAGCCTCGTGCAGGAGGCTATACGCCGGGGTGACCCGGAGTATGGCCTTGTACGGGGCTCCCATCTGGAGTGGGGCCTTATCAGCGGCGACGAAGTCGCTGCTGAGGAGGCCCCAGCGGGTGGTCGCCCTGCGAATGTGCAGGGCGTAAATGACGGTGGCCTGCGCTGCCGCATGCGTCCTCGCCGGTACTCCGCCGTGGGACCTCGAAGCCGAGGTCCTGGCGGAGGTCCACGCCTACCGGCGGGGAATGAGGGACCGAGGCGAGCGCCCTGCTCCCCAAGAGGTCGAGCGGGAGCGCCGCCTCGCGGCGCAGCGCATGCGGGACCGGTGGAAAGAGGGCTTGGCGGATCCTCCCTATGGCGCTCGTACCATAGGGGCGATCCGCCCTGTCCTCGTAGAGTGGGTAAACAGGTCCCACGGGCCACTGTCGTACCACCTTGTGCAGGTGCTGACTGGACACGGGTGTTTCGGTCACTACCTGCACAAGGTGGCGAGGAGGGAACCGTCCCCGTCGTGCCACGAGTGCGGCGCTGCGGATGACACCGCGCAGCACACCCTAGAGGTGTGCAGCCGGTGGGATGAGCAGCGCCGCACTCTGACGGGGACTGTAGGGCAGGACCTCTCGCTGCCGAGCGTGGTTGCCGCCATGCTCGATAGCGAGGAGTCCTGGGAGGCGGTGGCTTCCTTTTGCGCAGAGGTTATGTCGCAAAAGGAGGCCGCGGAGCGGGTGCGCGAGGACGCGGCGGACGCGCACCCGCTTCGGCGCAGACGTACGGGGAGAAGGCGAAGGCAGTTCGCTGCTCGCCTGATCCCCTAGTGAGGCCAGCAGGCTCTGGACAGGGACTCCGGAGCCTGCATTGCACAGCCTCACTCGTCTGGGGGGCGGGTCGGAGGACAACCGACTCGCCCCTCCGTTGGCGCGGGAGCCCTGGCGCAAGCTAGGGCGGCCGGGCGGCGTCGTGGTGAATGTCCACCGATCCCACGGCGCCGACTGAACCGGCGAGAGGGAAACCCGGGGGGTTTTAGTGGGGTAGGCCCTCCAGTCTGGAGGGAGAGTCCCCACATAACCCCTGAGTCTCCCTGGGCTATCCATAAAGATTTCCCCCCCGTCAAAAAAAAAAAAAAAGGTGAAATTATTATTAAAGAGATAAGTGCCGAGCAGTGGCTATGTTGAAGTGCTGTGAATGTAATATAATACCCCACATAACCCCTGAGTCTCCCTGGGTATCCATAAAGATTTCCCCCCCGTCAAAAAAAAAAAAAAGGTGAAATTATTATTAAAGAGATAAGTGCCGAGCAGTGGCTATGTTGAAGTGCTGTGAATGTAATATAATACTTACGGATCTCATAAGCATATCTCCGAAGTAGCAGAGCGACAGAATTTGAAACAGACTCATGAACAGGAAACTGCCGAACGATATTATATACGGTTTGTCGTCTATTGTCTGCAAATAATAGACGAAATATTACACAAAAGATGAAACATTTTTTCCAAAGTCTCGTTTAATTTTTAATCAATTTGATGATTATTTTTAACTGACTTCAAAAAAAGGAGATTCCTAATTCCATTGTATTTTTTTGTAGGTATGTTACGCGACTGCACGGGCATTTGTGAACCGATTTTAATGATTCTTTTTTGTTGGAAAGAACGTACCTCAGTATTCTGGTAAAGAAATCAAAATTACACGCAACTAAAATTTAAACGGTACTGTATGCTGCCGCGATCGAGCCGGGAGAGACGATGGTACGAAACAAAATCAGAATGGCGAGGCAAAATAAATTATTAAAGAACGATTCAAAATTTAAAAACGAGTGGCCAGGAATCGGAGAAAAGGCGATAAAAAGGTAGAATGACGATGTAAGGAGGTCACATCGTTCGCTCTGGAGCAAAGATAAGATCAACGATGAAACAAGCTCGCCCAGAAGATGCCTATTCACTCGCATCTTAAAGATACCCGGGTTGTATGAGTTCGGAAACAGTCGCAGGCAGGGAGTTGCATTCCTGGCCTGTGCGCATAATAAAAGATGATAAAAAGCGTTTAGTACGCCTGAGGGGTATATCGACCAAGTAAGGATGATATCCCGCCGTACGTCTGAATGTCCCATGGTAAAAGGAGGCGACCGGGATGAACTGATGGAGCTCATGGTTACACTCACCGAAATATATTCTGTAAAAAACCGACGAACGGGCAACTTTGCGCCGGTGGGTTAACCTATGAAGTTTAGATTCGACCTTATCGCCGCCAATAAGTCATCTGGCTCTGCGCTCAATCGATAGATAGTTCATTTCACATAGGATGGGTACTGTGACGTTTGAGATTTGAAGTTTCTAGATCTCCAGTTCCAGAAAAATCGATTAAATATCTTGTCGAGTTAATTTATAAAGAAAGTAGAATTGCTTTAAAGTCTTAAAGTACTAACTCTTAATTCATTTAAATTTCGTTAGCTGCCTGTTGTATTCTTTGGCCACAGTAAAATACTCTTTACTGCTATGTGCAGTATGGTCGGTGTAATTTGATTACTATTTAGTTTTACTTGGATGAGAGATTGTTTGAAAATAGTATGCACGCAGTGTAAAATTATATAAGCTCAGTGCAGAGTACTAAAAAACCGACCTCAAAAGTCATTCAATCCCTAGTTTGCCACTCTTAGAGGTGGAATATTTTCGTTAAATTTAAATGAAACCACTATTGAAGCACCCTCTTTGCAACAAAAAAGAATCATCAAAATCGGTTCACAAATGCCATGAGTTATCGCATAACATACTTACAAAAAAAAACATAAGTTAAAAATATCACAGTACCCATCCTATGTGAAATAAACTATGATTATGGTTTTTCAAAATGGCCACCGTAAAGATGTAAAGATTTCTCGCCAAAAATTCTCACAAAATGATACTATGGAAGAAAAATTACAATCTAAGATCTGGCAGTATGGTGATATGGCGAATTAGACGCCATTCCTGTCCCGAATGACGAAAAATTTTACTATTGTACTGAACTGTAGTTATTTGAATGGGTAATTAGACAACCCTGCTAGAAATGTGCGTTGATGACGTTGGACAACGTACAGCCTCGATTGTTTATCTACTACTCAATAATTATTAAACACAAATAAATTACTTATATTTAATATACATACGAATACTTAAATAATCAACAAATGACGACACATTAATATATACATACCATGCAAATTATCAGCTATTAACCTTGTATGTAGACATAATATTTTTTAGCATTAGACAGAAGCAAATTTTGGGTCTTTTATTAGGCGCCGCCGCCGTTCCGGTCAGTCATTTGGTACGCAAAACAATTTAGTAAATACCGCAAAACGAAATTCTCAAGAACATTTACCTTTATGTAATTATTATAATTTTTTACTCGTAGTTCTATATTTAATGTATTTCAAAGAGTTGCAATATAAAAATTTAAAGAAACACTAAACGAATCTTTTTATAATTTTATTTTAAACACATTATTGTGTCATTTCTAAATATCATTTGGAATCAATTATCACGATGTTTTTCTTTCCTTTAATTTGTTTTCTGAAAAAGAGAAGGTTTACGAGCACTACTTCTTTGTTTACATTTTTCTAATTCTAAAAACAACGAATGCCACAGACTAACAATATTCTACACTAAGTCTACTTAATTACAAAACAAATATTTTTTACCATAACGTTAAATCCGCTAAGACAGATGAGCAGCGAACTGCAAATGAAGTTAATCAGAATCGACTTTGAGTATATCACCTCCAGCAAATGGACAGATCTGCAAAAAACACATTTCAAGTAAATCTAAGTATGTATATTTTTATGAGATCAAGTGACGGAACGAACAAGTCGTACGCCTGTCTATAACAGTTGCAGTGCCATTCACAGTTTTAAATAGCAAAGATCTGAGGGGTACTGCTACTGTGTCCGTCACCCCGAGACAGTTGACAAGTCCTATATACTTCTAATGTCACCAGCACCTTTTCTCTTTAAAACCGGAACTCAATAACGCTCACATCACTGTTTGGCGGCAGAAATAGATAGCGTGGCGCTACTTCCCTGAACGAAATCTTTGACAAGGCGCTCTACCACTACTACTTAATTCATGAACGAGGCTGCTACCTTACCTATTTTTGTAATGCAAGAGTTACTGCGTCTCGGTTTAGGAGGGTAAGGGTGCTGGTGAAACTACAGGCGTATGGGACTTGTCAACTTATGTCTCAGGATACCGGGCGTAGTGGCAGTGCCCCTCGGATCTTTGTGATTCAAAGCTCTGAATGGCACAGCATCTGTTATAGAGAGGCGCGTCGCTTACCACCAGATGTACGAATTGCTCGTCCCGTCACTTGGTATAATTAAAAAAAAAATTTGTGAAAATTAAAGGACGGTCGTGGTTTGCTGCTATCCTGTTAAAATATATAATTTCCAAAGTTACACGCGCGTTAAATTTCGTAATTTGGTACGAAACAAAATCCTAATTTATGCAAATTATTTAAGACAATAGATCATTTTCTATACAGTCCAGCGGAAATATGTCTAATGAATCCCTTGTGTTTAAAGCTTTATCTACAATAATGCCATATTATTTGAATAAGCATTAGACTACAAAATGCATAAATGCAGGACTGATAGGACTTACAGAGCAAGGATTCAAAAATACATAGTAACTCTATACTATATAATGAGACATGTCCCATTCGCATTGATGCGCCGAACCTGGGAATGATCCCAGATTCTGCGCATCATTAGATAACATCATTACATAACACACAAATAACACACAAACAGGAAGCAAATTACTTTATCAATAAATAAACAAGTTATAAGCCATAAAGTGTGGTTACGGAAACCGTCATCCGCTGATTTTCAGTGGATCCAGTAACAGGGAACGCATGGCATGGAACATAGTAGACATGTCAATTATAAATTGAATACAGAAAATATTATAAATACCTACTTTAAACATCGAGCGAGCTCTCGCGGAAAAAAAATCTTTTTTTTTATCAAGGGACAGGACGAACAAGTCTTCCGCCTGATGGTAAGCTACACGCCTGTCCATGACAGTTGCAGTGCCACTCTGTGCTTTAAATTGCAAAGATTGGCACTGGCACTGCCACTGCGCCCGTCGCCCTGCGACATAAGGTGACAAGTTCCATTTGCCTGTAATTTCACCAGCACTCTTTTAAACCGGAACTTAGTAATGCTAACATTTCTGCTTGGTGGTAGAAATAGGTAATATCTGCTTTCGACCCACACTATGCAACTCGAGTGCACTGCGAGATTATGTGAATGTGCGTCGGCGGGCGTGCACACATACAAGTCGCGCTGTTACGTAGCGTTATATAGACTTACACTACTTGTCTTATTTTAGTACGATAGTAAATTATTTTTATGAAATTTTGAATACAATTAACTAAATAACTTATTGCCGACAAAATTGTAAGTCATATCCATTTATAAATATTATGCGTCAAAAGAGACTGAATGGATAAAACACAAACAAAACCTCACTGTATCAACTCCTGATGCCACTTGACTAAAGCAACAATTCTACCATGAAGCTCTTCACTCGTCTGCAAACTATTGCGTCTGTCATTGGCTAACGTAGTAAAGTCGTATTGCAGCAAATTAAATTGCACACACATGCAGGTCACGCATATAAAGAAGAAGTAGTCTACGCCGCTTATTCCAATTACTACTATCACCGCTGAAAGGTAACATAGTAATGAATAAATATTTATTTTTTAAAGCTGAGGAGCGATACAACTGTTCCACATTTTGTTTGCACACAATCAAAAAAGATAAAAAGGTTGGGACTTTGCTATCTGAAACGAAAACTGAAAAAGAAGGAAATTTCCTATTATTCGTACATAGGTTACAGGTTAAGTTAATTCTAGGCTAGACGTGAGATCCTTAGAGGTTCGTCTACCTATCTAAAAGATAACCTTAATATCAATTGGTTTTGTCTGCATATTTTGGGGACTGAATGACTCCAGTTTCATAATACAGGCATTTCTTAAGTAGGCAGCAAACTAGCATACGGCCCGCCTGATGGAAAGCGGTCACCGTCGCCTATGAACGCCTGCAACACCAGGGGTGTCTCGAGCGCGTTGCAAACCCTTTAGGACCCTTCTGTAACTCCTTTTGAAGGACTCCATGCTGTATTCCTGCAGAAATACCTTGGAACAGGGAGTATATGTCTAGGTAAATTAAATACTATCAATGACAATCAGTCAGTTTGACGACCTCGGTGGTCAATGGTTTCCACTGAGGCCTTGGATGAGGAGGATATGAACTTTTCTAATATGGTTTGAATGAATTCCGCTACTTTGATACCCATAGTACAGGTAATTAGTGTGATTATCTGGCACAATACTTAGGTATTAGTTGCTTAGTTAGTTATAAGACTAGAGTATAAGACATAAGAAAATATGTCGAACATATTTAAGACACTCACTTCCCCAAATCTGTCTCAAATACGCAATAGGCCAGTACTTTATATCATAAGCGTTGAAAGGATACACCACTTGAAACGGCAACTTCAATAGTACTTCCTTAGCGTTGTAGTAATCCAAAGCCATCAAAATAAGAGGCATGAAAGGAAAAGCAATAAGCAAAAACCAGTTGAAAAAATGCAACGTCTTCAATACTAAAAAGAGAAAGTTAGAGTCGGTTTTGATTATCTCTTTCTTTTGTGGTGTACTGGTGTCGTGGTGCCTGATTTCCAAGTTACGCAAAATGCTTAGAAGCTTGTTTATATGGTTGTCTGACATGTATATAAAGATGCATTTCGTATTGAAGAGGAAACACATTGTCAAGCATGGCGCGACGTAAGTCAACATGGTGAAGCTGGCTCCTTTCCTCGCATTAACAATAAACCAAGCTATGGCACCGGAGAAGTCCATATTCAGCCAGATAAAATTGAAAATGTAAACGAATTTGTAACGGAAATTTTGCAATTTTGTTTTTCTGGAACTTTCGATATTTATCCCGATCCATCGAAAAGAATAGTCGACTTTTTTCAATGCCTTATCTAGTAGGATTTGGTCTGACATTTTTATTTTTATATTTTTCAGGTTCGATTTTTAAACGATGTATTTTCCAACTGGTCACTTTTGGAATGGGCCGGACTGGAACTTTTTTACTGAAATTTAATTACTTAATCCATTGTATTGTAATGACAGTTCCATGAAATTGAAGCGGTAACGAAATATAAGGTATGCTGAGCATAATTACGGTTGCCTTTTATTACAACGGTTGTAAAGAAAAATGTAGTACGTCTAAAAACAGTATTTTTCCTAACTGTTATCGTAGAATCAGTGCTGGAACATGCTCGAATTGCCTAAATTTATACTTGTGACTTGTGATTATTAGTAAAAGTGGCAAATTATGACTAATTTATAACTAAAGTCAGTGACAAGGAAACCAGAGGAATACCAACCTCGAGAAAAGCCCACAGAACTTTTTAAAGACAATTGTTTGTATCATAGAACGAACAAAAGTTCAAACTATCAACATGAATTACCAGGTCTCAAACAAGCGAATTCCAGTACTATGAGTAACAAAGAAACTGAATCCAAACAACGAAGAAAAATATCAATTTAGAAAAGCTCATATCTTACCAATGAATGTACCGACATTGTAATATCAAATGTTCGACACCCAATAAGGATATTAATCCTTACTGGGTACTGAACCAGAGTCTAGCGTCCACATTGCAAACCGTTGGAACCAACCACTCGTAGGGACTACTTTGATTAACTGACTTTAAAAACGGAGAAGGTTCTCAAAGATTTCAATTAGGTTGTATTTTTTAATTATTATAACAAAGTAGCAGAGTAATTTCACAAAAATAATTGAATATCATGGTGAAACTTTCAATAAAAACTTAAAAATTACAATAACAAAAGTAACATCTCTAGTTAGCTACTGGTAGCTGTAAAGGTACCTGCCTGAGTGAAGAAATAGATTTCGCACAGATGGCGCCACGGCAAAAAGTCGTTAAAAACTAAAAACAAAGATCTGCAACAAGCCCATAGAAAAATTCGTAAGATCCGTTAGTTCGTTCCGCGTTTTAGGTGGCATAGCGTCTAGTATAGTTGGCCGAAGACGTCTTCTTAGTGTTCGATCTTTGTATTAATAATTATAACAAATTATATAGATCTATGTTTGATAAACTCAATTTCCTGTTACCGACCATCTTTCTGCTCCATCCACAGACCCTAATCGCCATCTGTAAGCTAATAAACTCATAAAGACCAATTTAATGAGCCCTATCACGATTAGTTCCGCGAAAAGTTGAAATGTTGGATAGTCTATAAACTGTTCTGATTGCAGTTTCAGATCATGGTTACAATTTTTTTTATAATACTAAGTGACGGGACGAACAGGTTATGTGCCTGGTAGTAAGCGACACGCCTGTCCCTAACAATTGCAGTGCCACTAAGAGCTTTAAATCACAAGGATCTGAGGGGCACTGCTATTGCGCCTCTCTCTGTAACATAAGTTGACAAGTCCCATGTGCCTGTAATTTCACCAGCACCCTTATCCTTCGAAACCGGAACGCAATTCTTGGCGACGGAAATAGGTAAGGTGGCAGTACTTCCCTGGACGAACTCTTTCACAAGGAGCTATACTACTACTGTGTATTCTAACGACATCGGATTTACATAATGAGTACACCAAATTTCAAGTCATCAGGCCAGTGTAAGGCTGCTAACAGATTGACTGCATGTTTGCAGCGTAATCAACTTCACGCAAGTTAATGCAGTCAAGTTCTCAGATAACGACTTCACGCATTTACTGCATGCGGTCGAAACCGAGATGGAAAGCATGCAGTTAATGCATGAAGTCGTTATCAGCTTCACGCGGTCGCGTCAGGGCTCCGTCACTCATTCAATGTTACGCGATAAGTACTTGCCGCTGAGTGCGCCGACGTCGGCACAAGCGCTCATACAAGTCTTTCATTTATGAGCATTCGGCTCCGCACGACTGCACACGGTGAGCAACGTTATTTTCACCTCTTTGAGCGCGTGCTTAGGTTTCTTTTTCCACGTTATGAGCGTCTGGTGTCATTAGTCGGATTCAGTAGGCTATTATGGCGTAGGTATTTTCGATTTTGTATGAGAGATATATCTGTTACAAAGTAACTATTAAGTAATCTGGGGTCAAGTTTCGGGTGCATGAGTAGATTACAACTTCACGCATTAATTGCAAACATGCAATCAATCTATTAGCAGCCTAAGAAAATTAAATGTCCATTTTATGACCAAGAACCCTATGCTAACTGGAAAAAAACTGATGATCTTTTAGTAGCAGAGCAGATGTTCATCAAATATAACTAAGAATCATCCCGATAAAACCAGCTTTCAAATAAAAAGAAACCCGCTTTGAAATCAGTCCATCCGTTTAGAGTCTAAGCCATAGACAGACACGCAGATGCATAGACAAAGGCTTCAAACCTGAAACTCCCTTAAAAACGGACGATTGGTTTAAGCTTACGTCATTCTCAAGCCTCAAAGGCTGTAGTTTAAAACATTTTTCCACTAAATGGCGGATTTCTGCCATCAATTTCAATAATTGCCACGTTAGCTTTTATTTTGCCTATTTCAACATCTATTAAAGAATTCTAATGTTCTAAAGTCTCCCGTACGCCATATAAAATGGATATAAATTTTGAGACTTTAAAAATTTTATACACATTTGTTTATTGTCGTTGTTTTTTAATTCCCTGTGGTTAAGATAATTGCACGTTATGGTACAATGTATTATCGGTACTGACAGTTTACTTTTCACTATATTTTTTGAAATGATAACCGCAAAGCAGATGCAAACGTTCTCATATACGATATTTAGTACATCAAATGGGATTATGTCACTTATTTTTTGATTTTGTTGACTAGAACTCTGATGTTGGAAAAGTTACATACTTCGTTTTGACTTAAAACGTGAAAACACTTATATAAGTCGATTGACATGACACATAATAAGTATAGTTTCACTGTAGTCAGACAAACTTTATTTATGAATATAAAAATGTATTAGTCGACTAACTTACATAGACTTAACCATAATAAAATTAGAGTACTAAATTAAGTGTAACAATTCCCAGAAATGGAGGCGACACACCTTACTGCAGGCCTACCGCTTAGTAGCGGTTATGCTGGTGGATCAAGAGTTCCATGAGGTAGTGATCTTCTTCTGTGAAGCGGTGATGTTTTAGAAGGAGATCGCCGAGCGTGATCGGGATAGGCCGCGAGAAGGACGACGGGGCGGTGTGGCTCGCTTCGGCGTGAAAATGGGAGGGGGAGGATGTAGCTCCTCCTAGGTGCCGGGTCCCTCTCACTGGACGAAGGAGGAAGACCCTCTCACTAGACAGAAGTCCCTCTCACTAGAAGGTCACCGGATTTTAGCCGATAGAAGTTATGCCGACAACCTCTCCGCTGCCTCCGCGACTGAAAGGTATCGTAATAGTTACGTCGCGCAGCACACAGGATAATTTCAACAAGGTTTTTTCTGACGATATTCAATAACAAGTTGATTCAAAAAATTGCCAAATGGCTTGTCTATTCATTTCAATTATCAATGAAATAGTTTTTTTTTATTATCGTTTCACAAAATAACAATTGACTAATTTGGTTGGCACTTTTTTCAATCAACTTTCCCAAACACATTCCCGTTTATTCTTGGTACTTTCAAATCCGGCCTTTTTGAAGGACGTCCCCAATCAGGGGTTCAGTTCAGAACCTTACGATAATTCAGTTGTCGACAGATTCGATTTGATATCGTTCGATTTCTTTTCATTTTTATTCACAACACCCGAATCGAACGTCCAACTATCGTATTCGAAACCGAACCGAAATGACGTCACACCGTACGATTACTCAAACTTCTCGACCGGCAAAAGCTCCAAACGTTATTCAGAACACAGTTATCGAAACAAAGTTACCGAATGTTCAATTGTTTACAAAGCAAAGAATGTAATATGGAAATCTCTTATTAAATAAAGTCTGTATTTTAAATTTCTTAATTTATTTTAATTCAAGACTAATGCATTCTTATATTTTATGCCTAAAGTCTCAAAAATGTATATAAAAGGATTTTTATTTTTCTTATAATTTATTTCACCGACTAACTCCGTAAACGCTGTTGGATAACAATATCGTATCCGCATCCGAATCGAACGATTAACTCAAATGTTCTGAATAGCTCAGAAAGCGCTTTTCGATTTGAGAACGATATCCAATCGAATGATTCGGTTAAAATATCGAAGAGTTCTTGAATCGGGGTCCTGATCTTTTTATATACTAGGTTATTTTTCAAATACTATCTATCAACCTCGCAGGACTAATTACTAACATCATAAACATCTTTTGTTCCACGACTTTTAATAATTCAACAGATTTCACTTTCATACAAAAGTAAATAGATTTATATAGATTGCTCTAAACGGTAATAACTCTGTGCTGGACGGGGGTGGGATCGTAGCGGAGGGCGCTTGCACGTTTGAACTTTATCTACCAAATACAGATCTAAAAAGTGTCAGATAGTACAAAAAAAATTTGGAAGTTTATTTTTGGTTTTATTGCGTTTTCTCAAAAGTCATGGAACAAAAGTTATTGTTTGTGATGTTAGTAATATATTCTTTAGTTTATAGTTTATTAATTGGGTAGCGTCCAATTAATCAACTGTTAATTATAGTAACAAGTGTACATAGCAATAAATAATGAATTATAACTATTACGCTGTATCACCTAAGCATAAGGGCGCGTTCCTATTATGTCGTGACGACAGATAGTCGTGCAGTTTAAAGTGTCGTGACTTGTATAAATAAAGTTGCTCACACACATATACATTAAAACACGATTAACTGTCGTTCACGAGTTTTTGGACGTTACGACGACAGACTTTCGTGATAATGGGAAGAGCTAGAACGACAGTCGTCTGACGATAAATAAAACGTCACGATAAAAATGCATGCATGCAAACGACAAGGCGGCTGCCGTGAACCGATAAATTGTCGTCCTGGTCTAGTGGGAACAGCTAGACATGACAG